GGAGGTGGTAGGGGGACGAGTGGGCTTCTGTCGGCAAGGAGAGGGAGTGGAAATAGGCCTACTGGTGCGGCGACAACGGGGGTGGTGGCGGCCGAGGGTATGGGAGAGAGTTTCCTTCAGTTTTAATATTGCTCTGCTCTTCGTCACATTGTTTTTACATGAACAGCTGAGTTTTATGATTGGCAACGCCAGGCAGGCCTAGTTATGACGATATTTGTACCATGTGGTGCTCCTCTCTTTCAGAGCAGTTCATCTACTGCATGTTCGCTGACGAACTGCACGCTGCTCGTTGGGCGGAAGCCTTCTTCATTCTTTAGCAGGGTGACTCGCGGCTCCACTTACGGGCAGTTTAATCTCCCCCAACAAAAATGTTTCCCTATCTTTCACGCTTTGCATAATTTGTTTTGCTCTCAGGACATCTGTCTCATAATTTCCGAGCATGTGTATTTTGAGTAAGGTGTCCTGTGCTGCTACTGCTTCATTGGCTGTATGTACTTCGTATCAAATCTCATCATTTCGACACCAATTATTTCGTTTTTCTACAAAAAAGCGATTTTCTGGATAACGATCTTTGTCAAATTAATATACACAGTTTTTGCTGGATTTTATTGAAAACTTCTGCAAAGCATTAATGAGGAATCACAAAGGACATCCAACGAGACATAGCAAGCATATCAACACATCATAAGCCGAAAAGGACGTGATCGTGATGGCGAATAGCTCTGCTCCTCTGCTAAGGATCGACGATTCGGGTTTGCTAGTAATCCCTATATTTCGTTGCTACGTTTCGATGGTAAATTGGCACGGGGAGTGCGTTAGAGAGTCAAATTCCACTCGGATTGTTCCACAGGACAAACCGTGGAAGGAGCTCTCAACAGGCTTGTTGGTGAGTGGTGATTTTGGCACGTTCTACCACTCTGAGTTCCTGACTAAAGACCTAATGCGGGCATAGTTATTTGCTGATATGACCACCTGTGATTGTTGCAACTTTCAGAGCGTAGAAGTGCCCATGTATTTCCATTCAAACAAGTCACTGTATCAGAATAAAGAAGTACGGACCGCAGGTATGCCCGAGCAAGTTCACACTTGCTGGATTCCTTGTAGCATAGTGAAGAGATGCTGTATCATCTACTCTCCAACTAGAATATGCCTATTCCTACAGCAACTATAAAAAACGATCCAGAACAGAATAAGCCTGAACTGGTTTTCATCAGACGGTGCCAAGTGAACGGATACTGACCACTCCAGGGGTGGTCACGAAATTTCGTCACGAGAACATCAGGTGTAACTGATAGCCGCTCAATCAGCATACATTTGGTGGATCCCACTAAGTGTTTCGAACAGCCAAAAAATCCATTACAGCCGATGAAAACCATCACAACCGATGATTTCAGTGCACTGCACATACGCAGAATCGACTGCGTTTCCCCGTCTAAAATGATTCACTGAGTGGTCATAACCCATAAAAAGTTCGGACTTACGCGGTTCGGCAGTGGCGACTCTACGCGAAGAAATGGACACCTGCAGGCAAAGCCAAGTGCCTTGATGTGTTTGTAGGAGCAGTGCACCACTGGATAACGGTAGATGTGTAAAGACAATGCATCAGAAGGTCAGGAG